TCCCGCACATTGTAGTGGTCACCGTGCAGGTCGTCAGTGTTGCCGGTAGCGACGTCGCGGGCGAGACGGATGTTCGTGTCTCGAATGGGCCCCCCGTTGGAGTGCCACTCAGTGGCAGGCTGGGGGGCCTCGTGGGGGACGATCTCCTCGGGGGTGTTCTCTGCAGCGATCTGCCCCCCACGATCCACGACGCCGCGTTGCCCGACTCGCGCAGCGCACTTTTCGCGACCGGGACGTCAGTCGGCCGGCTATTCCTCGTATTCACCGCCGGGGTGGAAAATGGCGTGCTGTTTCTGCCGGCCGACTGTCTAGTAAAGCTGAATGTCCCCTCCGCGCCGCCGGATACATTTGGCGTGCCCGCACCCCCAGATGACATGCAGGGGGTCGGGTGCGGGGGGACACGTCCCGGCCTGGCCGTGCTGCTGCTGCTGCTTTTCCCGCTCGACGCGCCGACCGCCCTCCGCGTGCTGGTGGTTCTCGCGGGCGGTCTCTTCGCTGCTCCCTCCCCGCTCTTCCTTGTTGCTATGGATGTTAATGCAGATCCCCCCGCCGTCGATGGAATGTTTGGCGAGGGGTGGGGAGGAGCGCGCGCCGAGCTTGCCGCAGCCGATGACCTGTCGGGCAACCTTTGTACTCTTACCTGCAGCACTGGCGACCCAGTAACTGCGGCGGCTGTTGTCCTCGGCGGCCTTCTCATGGCGGCCAGCCTGCCGATTGGTCGATCTTCGATGGCCCGATCTCGCTGGCCATCTGCTAGCAGCGCTGACCTTGGTGATGACGCGGCGCTCTTCGCGACAGTTCTCCCGCGGGCCTGCACAGTGGTCGGTGTAGAGGGCCGTCTTGTTGTTATGCCCGCGGTGACTGTCGCATATGAGGGGGACTCTGCTGTTGTTGCTGGTGGTGATGGCGGCCCTGGCGTAGGGGTGACCGTGGGAGCCACAATGGGTTGCCGCGGTTTTGCGGCACGACTCCGACTCACGCCAACCGTCCCCGTCGACGACGCGGCCGCCCGCGCCGATCGAGTACGCGCGCCCGCAACTACGCTCTCGCCGGTGTCGCTGTCGCCGCGAGTGCTCGGACCCGCCGCATCTCCTCCGGGAGTATCGTGCTCCTTCGCGAAATGCAAACGAACGGCTTTCAGGGGATACGCACCCGTTCCCCTGAAGCCACACACAGAACAGATATAACCAAGCGTATCTCCCGGATGGCACGCTTTTAGATGTTTCGCTAGATGCGGCGGGTCGCTATACTTGCCCTGTACCCTGGCCTCCGGATTATTAAAACATCGTTCGCAGTATACATTTGGAGGCACAGGGTACTTAATTATGTGCACCCGTGGTTCCGCCATTGCCAGCGATCAGTTTCTAAGGGCCCTCTCAATATTCGGAGAGACCGCCCGAACGGCGGTCTCCCTGCGAGCAACGGGCCACGCGGATCCACGTGCTCGGAAAAAGATGGCGGGACGAACGCCTATGTTCCGAAAAACACAGGCGTCCGTTGGAGATACCGCACAGAGGACTTTAGGCGCTATCTACAAAGTGCAGAGTCACGCCCGCA